ATAATAAATATAAATATAATTATATGGATAATGTGGATGGCTTTCGAAAGGAGTTATTAATGGAGATGCCACCATTACTGCACTTCCGCACGGTGCCATTTCCCAACAATGGTCCCTCCGCCGTTGAAAGACGAGAGAAACTCCTCTCACAATTCCCAACAAATACTCTTCATAATATTAATAACAATATAAATAATAATAATAATAATAATAATAATAATAATAAATATAATGATAAATATAATAAAGATATGAATATGAATATAAATACAATTCCTCTCTCTATTCCTTCCACACTGCAGAGATATGCACAACATCCACAGACATCTGGGAAAACAGCCACAACGCAGACAGATCATACATTACTCCTCTCCTTATTACTATCCCCCGACGTGATGGAAACAACAACAACAACAGAAGAAGAAGAAGAAAGAGAAGGAATAATAAATAGAAGAAGAAAAAGAAGAATATCATCTAATCTCCTCAACGCATTGAAATCTATTTCCAATTCTTCAATAGCCACACAAACAACAGAGAAAGAGAAAAAGATTACACGGGCCACTTCCACTTCTCCTATGAAATGTATAGAGACAGCCATCAACACGGAGTTTACCGTGGATGATTGGTATAAGCAAGAAACACTATGCCAACAACAATCCAATCGTATAGAAAGACTTGAAAGAGAACGTGTGGGAATGGAAATAACGATTGCCTCTGCTCAACAATACATTCATCAATATAAACAACAACAACAACACTTCTTTCTACAACAACAAGAAAAGATATATACAAATATAAAAGAAGAACTTATACAAGAAACAGAAAGACGAGAACGGGCATTATGGATACAAGAGGAAAATGAAACGAGATCTCTTTTACATACATTATGGAGGACTTGGCAATGGACCAATTCACACATACGAGAAGCAAAGAGAGAAGAAGAAGAAATTCTTCAACAGGCACATTATATATGGAAACAAGAACAAACTCAACATATATGGAATCTTATTAAGGCAGAGACCACACATCGGGATACTTTACAAGCATTGGAACAGCAATCAATAGATCTTCTTCAAGAGACTTTTACATTTGCAGAGAATTGTCGTCGGGCCGCTTCTCAGACCGCCGCTATCGCAATAGCCTCACAGCGGGAAACGGAAAATCAATTAAAAGAGGCATTACAACGGGAGAAGGAATTACGATTGCAGTATTTACATGTGTTGAGATTACCCACAACGACTATAGTCAATCGACATTCACTTCATGGGAGAAGTGAAGAAGAAAAAGAGAGAGAAGAAGAAGAAAGGGAAAGAGAGATGCCTGTACATGTGCGATTTGCCCGGGCTCACAGAGAAGCACTTAATACCGTTAGTACACAACGTATTCAATTGTCCACACAAACACGTGTTCTTTGATAATATATATATATATATATATATATATATATAAACAGACAGTGATTATGAGTTTTTTTTTTGGTTTTTTTTTTTTTTTTGGTTTTTGTAGATACATCAGTAATATATATCTATACATATGTATATGGATATCTTTATGGATGTTTTCTTTACTAGATGGAATATGTTATCATGATTTTTTTTTATTGTTTCTTGTTTTTCTCTTTGTTTTCCAACTTGTTTTTTTTTCCTTTTTCTTGTTTCTCTCTCTCTTTATAATGTGTATATGGAGAATAATAGATATAGATTCATTACGTGGTTGGTTAAACGTAAATCCATAGAAGAAAAAGAAAAAATAAAAAATAAAACAGAAGTCAACATTAGAAACAACAAAGCAGGAAAGAAAAAAAAAAAAAAAAACGAAAAACAACAACACTGTCTGAGTCTTAATTCTCCTTTTTCCTTCTTTAAAAGTGAATAGTGATACTGTTTGTGTGCCTGTTATTATTATTATTATTATTATTATTATTATTATTATTTCTTTTACTGTTAACACTGAGAGAGAGAAAAAAAAAAAAGATTTGTTAATGACTGTATTATTAGGCATCCAGCAAGTAGATCCATGGCTGCAGTTCAATCCACATATTCTCTCTGGTTATCGTCCACGCATGTCTACTCGTGCCGCCTTACGTTCCTTCTTTACTTGGCATAATGAATCTCTTAACATTTGGACTCATGCAATAGCGGCACTCTTTGTGCTTTACTTGACTCTTTATCCTCCCCGTGTAGATCCCACTACTTCATTTAGTGTTAATAATAATAATAATAATAATAATAATCATATTAATATTAATAATAATATAAATGATGTTAGTCTGGTAGGGGCTCCTCATTATCATAGACCGCAGCATATATATGAAACGGGTTGGATCTTAAGTTCTAATCCCACTATTGTTTTTCAATCAACATGTGTGATTTTACTTTTCATATTTCTCTGCAGTGTCAGTTATCATCTTTTTATGCCTTGTGTGCGTTCAGAAACTTCTTATAGACGTTTAATGAATTGTGATGTATTAGGAGTCATTACATCTATTACTGGTACTTCCTGGAGTTTTCTTTATCATGGAAATGCCTGTAGTTTAGATTGGAATTTCCATTCAGGTGTACTCCTCTCTTTACTATTAATTTCCTTTCTGCTGGTGACGTATAGTGTGATCTTTGCTGTTCAATGCGGGGCAAAAGGACGAGCAAAGGCGATTGGATTTCATTTATTTCTTCGACTGGGTTTAATGCTGTGGATAGAAGTGCCAAAGGTCCAATCGCAGGGATATCATCAGGCAGTTAATTATCATGTGTTGAGTTATATCTTTATAATGATTGGAGGGATTGTGAATGCCCTACGCTTTCCAGAGAAATATATGCGGCATATACCACGACCATCATCCTTATCTTTATTATTATCAACAACAACAACAACAGGAGGAGAAAGAGAAGAAGGAGAAGGAGGAATAGTATTAAATTCACGAACAGAGGAGGGAGAAAAGAATGGAACTCTTTTAAAACATACAGAAGGAAAGACAAGTGATATGATGATAACGATGATGATGACACGTTTTTGGCGTTGGTTTGGATTTTATGTGATCTCCGGTGAAGAGATTGATTATGCGTGGAATAGTCATAATTTGTGGCATTACTGTGTGATTTTAAGTGCGACATCTATGCTGTTGTCTTGCTATTATGATTTGGAAGAGTTTGAATTGGCAAGGTGTTGAGGTATAGAGTATACATTATTTATTTATTTATTTCTTTTTTCTTTCTTTCTTTCTTTCTTTCTTTCAGTGTTTCTGTATATATAAATATATAAATATTGGTATATGTATTGTTGTGGGTCTTCTGTTCTCTTTATGTAATATGATTATCATTATGATAATGATAATAATGATTTCTCTTTTCTCACTTTATATATTTGAACTGCTATTATTTCTATTTCTGTGAGCCATATATATATATATAGTCATTAACTGTATACAGAAGAGTGGTCATTAACAATAGATAGATAGATAGATAAAAGAAACGAAAAGAAAAAA